ACACACACACACACACACACATATAAAACTGTCCAACATATCACAAATCATGTTACATTACTGCACAATCTCCTGGAGGAAATAACCAAGCTGGATTTACTATAACAGTAGCTCTACAACAATGACTGATCTGGATGATAATGACAGTTCCTGCCTGCTCTTTTTCCCCTGACAGCTCAGCAGGACTGAGCACGATTACCACAGACGCTTCCCTTCCTCCTCCTGCCATGTTTTTTTAACACAGAACGGAGAGACGGATCAATAAATTAGCCACGTGCAGCCGATAAATTACACCATTTGAGATTAACCTTGAAGGCTTGCAGGAGAAGTGTGTGGTCAACAGTTGTAGTCACTGAAGAATTATGGGCAAACCGAAAGACTACTGCAGTTCTTGTTTACAAAAGCAGCAACCAAATTGACAAACGGCAGATTTCAATCAATGAAAAATCAGCTTTAACAAACTCATTTCTGATTTTACCCTAAAAATAATTACAGCCACTAAAAAGAACAGGAGTTCATTAAGGGTTTCATTAATCCTGAAGTGATTTCAGCACCTAATACGTGAACAGCTACACCGTACAGTGTTGGTTAAAGATCCGGCCTTGAGCACTTCTCATAGTGATGCCATGAAAAGCCTGCTGATTGTTGTGTTATGTCAGGAAAGGCACATAGAGTTTGGTCAGGCGAATAAATGATGGGCGCCGCCGCCCGTGGCAGAGCTGCATACCGAGCAGCAGCTGCAGGCAACAGTTCACTGTGGAGCTCAGGGGAGAGATGACATTCTCAGGGAAACGAATCAGAGCCAGAACTGATGAGTGCTAGGACTGCCTCGTTACACAGAGATGCTGCCATTTTGAAAAGACGCGTTTAAGACGTTTCCCTTTGACTGCAGGTTTTTATTTATTTATTTATTTTTGATGAAGCACCTTTAACGCCACTCGCTCCTCTTGAGGCATCGCACACGTACTGCAGCCTTTAGAGTCATGTGTCCTTTTTTTTTCCTGACAAGCCAAGGTCTTGACAGCCACGGGCAGGAAGAGTGTGTGAAGTGTGTGTACGTGTGGTGGAGCGGCTTCAGGGTGGATTTACTTTTGCCCATTAAACTGCCAGAGACACTCACTTTGCACATCAAACACCGCAGGGCTGCCTCAGTCTCATCTGACCCATGGCTTCTGCCTGCTGACCAGCCTCAGAGTCAGGCCTGACCCACAACCACCCACAGCCATGAAGTGTATTGATCCCCCCCCCACACCCTACAAAGTTGGCACAGACACAGGCCACACAGAAAGGGTGACATCTGGAGATATCACGAGATTTCCTAACAGCTTGTGATCATCTGTTTAAAAAAAAAGAAAGGCTGAATATGAGAGGCTGGTTTTTCAATGAAGGGGTGTGGCAGCAGAGGGAGGGCATTTATCCAACACACAACATGGGCTGCTGCTTTCACTCTACATGCTGATGCTCTCTTTAAACAAAAACACAATCCTTACTGGGGAAAAAAAGCAAATAAAAACACACCGTGCAAGTTTATCAGAAGCACAACAGTAACATGGTTTGCACAGGTTCTGTGGTGGAGAAAAGAAACAAAGTTGGCAACAATTCCTTTTAGCGGCTGCTTGACATGAAAACATGGCGGAGGCTGGTCAGGTCAGTAACTCTCCACGCGTATTTTACACACCGAGAAACACAATGAAATTATTTAAACACCACCCTCCAAAACTC